TGCCTCCGAGTGGTCTTCTCGCCGTCTCCTGATTCTCCAGTGCGGGTCCTAACCCACCCTCGGTCAGTGCTGGTCACCGACAGTTCAGTTTTTCATATCTATACAATAGGGCGACTTTAATGCCCATCAGTCAGGTTTCACACATTCTCCCTGCTCAAGGGCAACAGAAGAGACACATCTTATGTAATGAGGGGCCAGGAGTAATCATAAAGTCATCAATCAGAACGTGTCACTCATCTGCCTGGAAACCTTCAATCATTTTCCACCGAGTTCCAGGTCCACACGAACTCCTTATTCTTCTCCTAGAAATAAAACTTAGAAGATTTGGATCCTAAGTCCTTGGCTTCACCTGCCTGCATTTTCATTCTGCCTTTTTTTGCTCCACCCCTGGGGCCTTTTTTCTCTCCTTTTTTCTCACCTTGCTAAGTTTGTTCCCACTATTTGGCCTTTGCATATGCTAGTCTGTCTGTCTGGAATGCTCTACTCCAGACTTTCATAAGGCTTATTCCTTACTCACTTCAATCTATCCCATGAGCCCATCTACATTTCTTTAAAGCACTAGCTACCTCCTTAGACAATCTTGTTTGTTGACTTATCTATGGATGGCTTAGCCCACTAGTCTGTCAGCTTTAGAGTCAGGCCCTCGTTTGCTTGTTCACAGGGCGTCCCTGGCACCCAGGGTAGTGCCTGGCAGGCATTTGGTCCTCAGAAACTGTTCCATGATCAAACTCCTGCAACCTAGATATGTCTTCCAAATTATGGTGGACTTCCCAGGCTCGTCCATGTCCCACCACCTTCCACAGTCTAAAACGCACGCATTGGAGCCCCCATGACCTCCCTCCCTCACAGCAACACCCACCAAGTTGCCACAGGGTGTTTTATCTGGCTATTTTGTCTTGGTTGCCCTCACCTAACCAAGAAAATCTGCTTTTATTTTAACAGTAAAAGTGCTGACGATCATCAGATCAAGGAGAAGCTGGAGCAGTTGAGATGTCACTTCACATGGGAGTTGCAATTTGAAAACAATGAAATGCCTGATATAGAAAACAGGGCCTGGGACCAGATTGAGTTTCTAGACTCCAAGCAAAATGTGGGAATGCACAACCTACTGGCCTATGTGAAACACTTGAAAGGCCGGAATGAGGAAGCCCTGGAGATCTTGAAAGAGGCTGATGACTTAATCCAGAGAGAACAAACCGACCAAGCAGATGTGAACAGTCTGGTGACCTGGGGCAACTATGCCTGGGTGTATTACCACATGGGCAAGCTGTCAGAAGCCCAGACCTACCTGGACAAGGTGGAGAACACTTGCAAGAAGTTTAGAAGTCTTTTTCGCTATAGAATGGAGTGTCCTGAAGTGGACAGTAAGGAAGGATGGGCCTTACTGAAATGTGGAGGACAAAATTATGAACGGGCCAAGGCCTGCTTTGAAAAGGCTCTGGAAGTGGACCCTGACAACCCTGAGTTCAGCGTCGGGTATGCAATCGCCATGTATCGCCTGGATAACTTTAGATTCTCAATAAAGGGTCACAAGACATTTTCTCTACGGCCTCTAGAACAGGCTCTCAGGCTAAACCCAGGAAATGTGTATATTAAGGTTCTCCTTGCCCTGAAGCTTCAAGATTTAGGACGGATAGCTGAAGGAGAAAGGTACATTGAAGAGGCTCTGGACAGCACGTCTTCCCAGGTCTATGTCCTTCGATATGCAGCCAAGTTTTATAGAAGAAAAGGTTGTCCGGATAAAGCGCTTCAGCTCTTAGAAAGGGGCTTGCAGGCCACACCCACATCTGCCTTCCTGCATCACCAGATAGGACTTTGTTACAGGGCACAAATGATCCAAATTAAGGGAACTACCAGCATGCAGCCTAGAGGGCCAGATAGGGAAAAGCTACGGAGAATTGTACGTTCAGCCATATTTCATTTTGAATCTGCTGTGGAAATCAAGCCCACCTTTGAGCTGGCTTACGTTGACCTGGCAAAAATGTATGCAGAAGCAGGCAATTACAGAAAAGCTGAAGAGACTTATCACAAAGTGCTACCCATGAATCCAGTAGTAGAAGAAACAATGCAGGAAATACATTTCAGCTATGGCCAATTTCAGGAATTTCAAAAGAAATCTGAAGCCGATGCGATGATCCATTACTTAAAAGCAATACAAATAAAAAGGGTATCCTTTATACGGGATAAAAGTATCAATTCTTTGAAGAAATTGGCTTTCAGGAGACTTCAGAGAAATGCATCAGACCTGGAAAGTTTGAGCCTCCTTGGGTTTGTTCACAAGTTGAAAGGAAACCTGAACGAGGCACTGGAGTACTATGAAAAGGCTCTGAGACTGGCTGTTGACTGGGAGAACTCAGTGGGGCAGAATCCCTAGGCAACAAGAGAGCGGCCACTCGCACATTTCATTGAATTTTCGGTCAACATGTATTGTCCATCTTTTATGCTTGCTACTTTCAGAAACACGTTGTGTAATTCGCTGTAGTGATGTAATTTTTGAACGATTACTGAAATCTGATAAAATATTAGTTGTATTCAGAAAAGCAGGAAACAGAATGTGTGTGCACGAGAAAGAGAAAAACCATCTGTGTGGATGCTGTTTAGTAGAAAAAAAGTTTGTTGGATAGATTTGTAGCGAATGAAACACAAAACTTATACACACTGAAATGTTTTGGTTTTGTGTTTTTTGTTTTGTTTTTAAAGCAGGCTTTATTGAGAGGACAGAAAAGCTCCCACAGTGAGAGGGGACCCAAAGGGGTTGCCCACACTGAAATGTTTCATTCATTTTTTTCATTGTGAAATAAATATGAAATCAGAAGTCCCACGACCTTCTGGACAGACGCCTTTGACCAAAGGAAACTCCAGAAAAACTTAAAAACTGAGTTTTCTGGCCATGACAAGATGAGAGCTCAGCCACACGTCATGTAATTCCCTCCCTTGCTAACTGCCCTTCGACTTTTTTTCTAAGAGTTAAACAGACACCAACCTTAGCGAAGAGAGAATGGAAGACTCACTCCTTCATTGACTTCAGCCTACCCCCTGGCACAGCAGCCAGACTCCTCTTTTGCTGTTTCAAGGGGACAAGTGATCTGCATTCCTTCCTTACAGGTGACTTCCAACCACATGGACTGGTTCTGGCTGATCCATGGAGGCTGCACCCAGGGCATTTCTGTGCCCTCCAGTTCCCCTTTTGACTTAGAGAGCCTAATCCTATAACGTTTTGATGCAAAGTCTCCACCCAGAAGTGAACATATTTAACATGTGTGCTTGCTTACCACACGTGCAGAGGACTTTCCCACATAGCCTTCTCCTGGAACCTGTGACATATGTGTGTCTAGCCCAACCACCACGCATAAAACTCCTGTGCCGCCCACACTCCCTCGAAGTGTCTATTCCTGTACTCTCCTCAAGGCTTCACTTCCCAGCCTGCATGTTGTGACCCTTCCCAAGAAATAAAATTCTCATTTTTCAACTTATAAATCTTGTGATTTAAGTCGACATTATCAACAGATTGTTTTCAATGCTGGATACTGAACAGGAAGATACTTTTCCCAAACCTTACAGTCCAGTAAGAGACAGTAAGATAAATATACAATCAATCAAAGGCCATCTCTTGCCATGAAGATGTTTTAAGTTTAATTCAATGTCAAATTGCTCCAGGGAGCCGGGCTCGGTGGCTCAGCCTGTAATCCCGCGCCTCAGCAGAGGCTGAGGTGAGTGGATTGCCTGAGCCCGCGGATTCAAGACCCGCCTGGGCAGCGAGACCTCATCTCGACGATAAATCAAAAAAAATCAGCCGGGCGTGGTAGCGCATGCCTGTAATTCCGGCTACTGGGAAGGCTGAGGCGGAAGGATCGCCGGAGCCCAGCAGGTCGAGGCTCGGTGGCCGGAAGCGGCCACTGCACTCCAGTCTGGGTGATAGAATGAGACTCCAACTCAAAAAAAAAAAAAAAAAAAAATTGTTCCAGGGAATTCCTCGTTTCGTGCCATTTTATTCAAAATCAGTATCATTTGGTGATACTGATCTAGACAAGAATAGGAAAAATAATCTTAGACGCCATCTGTAGCAATTACCTTTAATTATGAATAATCGCATTTTATTTTTTATTTATTTATTTATTTTTTTTTGAGTTGGAATCTCACAATGTCACCAAGACTGGAGTGCAGTGGCTGGGAGCGGCCACTGCAGCCTCGACCTGCTGGGCTGCAGAAATCCTTCCGCCTCTGCCTTCCAAGTAGCTGGAACTACAGGCGCGCACTACCACACCTGGCTAATTTCTTGATTTATTGTAGACATGAGGTCTCACCAAGTTGCCCAGGTGGGTCTCAAACCCGCGGGCTCACCTCAACCACCCAAAGTGCAGGATTACAGGCTGAGCCACCGAGCCCGGCTAATCACATTTTATTAAAAGACAATGCACCCAGGGCAATGCACCAGTAGTATTCTTAGAAGGAAAAACATTTTGATTTTTCATCCTTGTATATGTTTAAGGGGAAGATGTATTTCTTAGTTTCTTATTGTGGCTTTCACAAATTACCAGAAACTGGTGACTTCAAACCTCACAAATTTATTATCTTATGGTCTGTAGGTCAGATGTCTGAAATGAGTTTCTAGGCCAAAGTCAAGGTACTGAGACAGCTACACTCCTTTTTTTTTAGGAATTTTTTTTAGAGATTTTTGTAGAGATGAGTTCTCGATGTGTTGCCTATTTTGTCCTGTACTTAAGCAATCCTCTCGCCTCAGGCGTCATAAATGCTTAGATTACAGGCATGAACGACCATGCCCAGTCTCTTGCCTCTTTTTTCTTTTCTTTTCTTTTTTTTTGGATCAGAGTCTCACTGTCATCCAGGCTGGAGTTCAGTGGCATGCTCATGTCCACTGCAGACTCGAACTGCTGGACTCAGGTGATCCTACTGCCTCAGCCTTCCAAGTAGCTGGAACTTCAGGCATGTGCCACCATGCCCAGTTCATTTTTCTTGGTTTATTATAGAGATGAGGTCTTGCAAGGAGGGGTTTTCTGCGGTAGAGACTGAGGGGCTGTATTGAGCTGCCAGCTACACTCACAGAGGCAGCCCCGCACCAGAGTATCCTCCACCTGCCTGGATAGAGTTGTCATTCATTTTGAAAATTTTCTCTGCCTCTTTATTTTCAGAATTGTTTCACCTACAAATTGCCGTACATGAAGTTAAAGAAAATGTCATAAGGGTTCTCTCTGGGACTCTTTGGCCTAATGGGTAGAAAACATATTAGGTATAGAATGTAAGGTAATTAGCTGAGAACACAGAAGCACAGATACACAGAATGTGAGGACCAATTTTTTAACTTTTTCTCTTTTTTTGAGTTGGAGTCTCACTCTGTTGCCCAGACGAGTGCAATGGCCACTCCCGGCCACCGCAGCCTCGACCTGCTAGGCTCCGGCGATCCTTCCACCTCATCCTTCCAAGTAGCCGGAATTACAGGCGTGCACTACCACACCCGGCTAATTTTTTTTATTTTATTGTAGATGAGGTCTTGCCTGCCCAAGCGGGTCTCGAACCCGCGGCCTCAGGCAATCCACTCACCTCAGGCTCCCGAAGGCGCGGGATTACAGGCTGAGCCACCGAGCCCGGCTTAACTTTTTCTCTTTTTTTGAGTCGGAGTCTCACTCTGCCGCCCATGCTGGAGTGCAGTGGCATACTCATGCCACCACAGCCTCAACCGACTGGGTTCAGGTGATCCTCTGCCTCAACCTTCCAAGTTGCTGGAGCAACAAGCACATGCCACCATGCCTGGCTAATTTTTGTGATTTGCTGTCGAGACAAGGTCTTACCAAGTTGCCCAGGCTCGTCTCGAACTCCCTGGCTCAGGCAATCCTCTTGTCTCAACCTCCCAAAGTGCAGGTATTACAGCTGAGCCACCGCACCCGGCTGGTCACTTTTTTAGCTATTAAAGACAAATTTAATTTTCTTCCCTCATGTTCTCATAGGAGAGATAGGACTTCAAGCTCTCATACAGAGACACCCCAATCCCGGCAAGTAGCTTCAGGGGATCCTTGACTTTCCTATAGTCTATGCCCCATTCACTGAAAGAAGCAAATCTCCTTTTACTCCCTTTTTCTGAGTGGTTATAAGTTTGAATAATATAGTACCAATGTAATCGTAAGCCTTGCGAATTACCTAAGTGTTGCATCAATGTAATTGTAAGCTTTGTGATTTGTGTAACTTTTGAGTAATGCACGATGTCTTAGGTCCTTTACTCTACGGCAAGCTTTGTTAATGCTTCTGCTAGGCCCTACTGATACAAGCTATGAGATACCTCTGATACCTGGCACCGGAAAGTCTGGACAGAAAAATGTCACTATCAGAATATTATGCAGCCATAAAGGACAAACATATGGACTTCGCAGCAACTTGGATGGATTTAGAGTCAATCATACTCAGTGATCTATCACAGAAACAAAGACAGAGTACCATATGTTCTCACTCATAAGCAGACCTTGAACAATATACTACCATAAGAAAGGCATTGGTAGTAGTGGGAAACTATCAGGGGAGGGGGTTGGGACTGGCAGTGGAGGGAAACTGCTAGGGGAGGGAGGGGCACACCTCATCAGCAAGGGTGCCTGCATAATCAACGTTTGAATACCTAACCCTGAATTGTACCCCACATCTTTATAATAAAAAAAAAAAAATGTCACTATCGATAAATGTGGCTGAAACTCAAGTTCTGTACAATGCTCTGCTGGCCACGTGGCTAACGTGTAGGTACTAACAACTCTGGACTATAAAAGTGAACTGTAAAAGCCTAGAGGGGAAGCAGAAGCATTTTGAAAAACCTTGAGTCTGGCTTTGCTCCCTGGATTCAAACTCAGAAATAAACTTCTTTCTACCAGTTCCCTGCCCCTTTGATTTAGTGGTATCAATGGGAGCAGCCGAGCATTACTCGGACCATAACAGCTCCACTTCCTAGGAAGGTAAAATACTGAAAAGAAAACGTCTGGTCCCACTGATGCCCTGTTATTCTCTTTTCTCCATGAGTAGCTGAGAGATTACTATGACCGTTGAGATTTTAATTACCTGTCCTCTACTAGGCTGCAGGATTACCAGACATCTGGATCACTGTGTCACAAAAGTGGAATTTGACTCTTGCTCAAATGTTCCCTTATCCCCCTACTTCTCTCCCCATGAAGTAAGTCTGCCACTGTTAGGTGACTCTACTCATTTTCAACCTCTCTGTTTAGGATTGGTTGGGGATACCCATACAGGCGAAGAAACTAGGATGCCCTACCACACTCTCCAGTCTGTCTTCAAAATTCACAAAGCCTATTGTTTTTGTTTTTATTTTTATTTTTTGAGACAGTGTCTCACACACTCTGTCACCCATGCCGCAATGCAGAGGTGTGATCCCCGCTCAAAGCAGCCTCCATCTCCTAGGTTCAGGCAATCCTCCCACCTCAACCTCCCAAGTGGCTGGGATTACAGGTGAACGCCACCATGCCCAGCTAATTTCTGTATTTTGTGTAGAGACAAGGTCTCACTATGATGAATAGTTTGGTCTCCAATTCCTTGGCTGAAGCAGTTCTCCTGCCTCAGCCTCCCAAAGTTCTGTGATTACAGGCATGAGGAATCGCGCCCAGCCGGCCCATTGTTTGAAACCACATTTGGCTCTCACATTTTCATCAAAAACCATTGTGAGAGAAGAGAAAATCAAAATGTGCTTATGTGTTGAGAACTTGGAAAAAATGAGTAAAGAATCCGTCACTCT